AGGTAGATGCTTCATTGTAATGAAATTGTGGTCAAGAGCCTGTGATGGGAGGATTCGTTCTACAGGATTCAAAGCTAGCATCTTTGTGAGAAGGTCTGTGAATTCTTCCAAATCACGACCTTCGTAAACATTTTTGTTAGGGTGTGCATTTTTTAGCAAGTCGGCTAAAGATTTAGAACTACTCTGAGTGTCAGGTTCATCTGTGGTGTTCATTGGTTTTCGGRTATTAAACCTCCAGACGTGTCCTGATTTAGTCCGGTTAAGTGTAAAGTATTCTTCGGCTAGTAAACTATTGCTAAGAAAATAAACATCTGGCTGGCCAAGGAGATTAAAAATTGATTCAAGCATATCGTAAGTTGTATCACCATGAAACATTTTATGACCAGTATAAAGCTTACCTAGGACACATCCAAGACTCCACATATCAACACTTTCAAATATTGGAAATTCCAGATGAATCTCTGGGGACCTGTAGCTAAWATCCTGATGTAGCCTCCCATCTAGTAAATGATGTGTTGTCCTACAATGCCCAAAATCTATTAACTTAACTTTAAAGGGCATATTAGTATGATCCACCAACATTATATTGTGAAGTTTGATGTTAGTGTGGCTCAAATTTAAAGTTTTCAATAAACTAAGACAAACAAACATTTGTTTCGCTATTATTCTAATCTCATATAGTGTCAGATGATTTCTTTCTTTTAATAACCTGTAAAGATTTCTGTCTAATAACTCGAAAACAAAGCAGTAATATTCTTTAAACTTGAAATATTCCAGGCATTTCACCAAATAGTATTTTTCAGGATTACTGCTTTCAAGACATGTGATTGTTTTTTTCTCCATTTTAGCGTACCGTCTATATCTTGGCGATACAGCTTTTAAAACTACCTCCTGACTGGATCCTTCTATGACACATTTAGCTACCTGGCCAAAAGTGCCGTTATGTATTATACTTACGACTCGATAAACATTGGATTCACCCTGAATTACGGACCCAAAGTCTAAATCTAACTCAAATTTTGTCTTATTTTTAGCTCKCTTAAAAACATTGTTCAAATCTATTTGATCCACGGAAGAGGAAAAAGGCAACCTTTAGCTAACAGAAGACTTGAATAATGATAAAATGATAATCTAACTGGCTGACCTTTGATCTTGTGATGACGTATTAAAATATTCTGAAAAACTCCACCGGAAGTTCGATTTCGTGATGACGTAGTGATGACGAAACTCCACCGGA